TGGATTTACAAAACTAAGTTTAATGAAGGTGGGGTAGTTGAAAAATACAAGGCTAGACTTGTAGCAAAAGGATATGCTCAAGAGCATGGCATAGATTACTCTGAAGTATTCGCACCAGTTGCAAGATGGGACACTATTAGAGCTATTATTGCTACTGCAGTGAAGAATGGCTGGAATATCTACCAACTAGATGTCAAGAGTGCCTTCTTACATGGAGACCTTGAAGAAACAGTTTATGTGGATCAACCTAAAGGTTATGTCAAGAAAGGACAGGAGCTAAAGGTTTACAGATTGAAGAAGGCCTTGTATGGCCTTAAACAAGCTCCTAGAGCTTGGTATAGCAAGATAGATAATTACTTTAATAGTGAAGGCTTCACTAAATGTGCTCATGAACACACACTCTATACCAAGGTAATTGACAGCAGTAACATGATTATTGTCAGCCTCTATGTAGATGATCTCATCTATACAGGAGGTAATATCACTGCTTTAAATGATTTCAAGGAATCTATGAAGGGTAAATTTGATATGAGCGACTTGGGAAGGATGAAATATTTTCTTGGTGTTGAAGTACTTCAAAGGGAGGGTTCTATTTTCATTAACCAGCAAAAATATATTCTTGAGGTTCTAGACAGGTTTGGCATGGCTGATTGCAAGCCTGTGTGCAGCCCAACTGTATCAGGCAGTAAGCTAAGTAGAAATGATGAAGGGGAAGCAATAGACTCAACCATGTTCAAGCAATTGATTGGGAGTTTAATGTATCTAAATGCAACTCGGCCTGATATCATGTTCTCTGTAAGTATGGTGAGCAGGTTCATGGAAAATCCAAAGGAAACACATTATGTTGCTGCCAAAAGAATTCTAAGGTATCTTAGAGGAACCACAGATTTGGGAATTCATTATAAGAGGCAAGGCAAGACAGACTTGACCAGCTATTGTGATAGTGATTATGCTGGTGATCAAGATGATAGGAAGAGTACTTCAGGCTATGTTTTCTTGCTGAGTTCAGGTGCAATATCTTGGTCTTCTAGGAAGCAACCAATTGTGACACTCTCCACCACTGAAGCTGAGTTTGTGGCTGCTGCCTATTGTGTATGCCAAGGGATATGGATCAAACGAATTTTAGAAGAATTGGGTGTGAAACTAGAAGAGAGTCTTAGCATTCTATGTGATAACAGTTCAGCTATTAAACTGTCCAAGAATCCTGTAATGCATGGGAGAAGCAAACACATTGATGTGAGGTTTCATTTCCTGAGAAATTTGTGTAAAGAAGGCATCATTGAACTAAAGTACTGCACCACTGAAGAGCAGCTTGCAGATGTTCTAACTAAGGCTCTGAAGAAAGAATCATTCATGAGGATAAGAAGCAATTTGGGCATGTGTTCTTTGAAGGAAATTATTTCAACTGCAAAGTAAACTGGAGCTATCACTAGCTTCAGTTTAAGGGAGGGAATGTTGGCCTTGTTCTGTTTTTGTTAGCCTATTGGGCATCTGTTGTAATAGTCCAATTGTGGACAGTTAGTTGTGTTTGTTCTGTTATTAGTTAATTTCTTTTGCTATAATAAACTAACTGTCAAGATGACAGCTATAAAACAATGTACATATACACCTTTCACGGAATAAGAAAAAGAATATACAGCATTTCATCATATATTGAATAACAGTAATTATATATATAGTTAATTAGTGATAATAATAACAATGACGAAAGTGATGATGAAAATAGTTATTGTTATGCCTTTTGGTAAATTTGAGAGATTTAAATGATTTTTTTAAAATTAAAATCTTTAATCCAAAACTAAATTTCAAATTTTGAGTAAAAATCTTCTGAAATTGAATAAAATTTAATTCAATACTCCATTTTAACGAATACACATTTCATTTTAAAAATTACTTCTAAAAAAAAAACGCAATAACCTCGAACAATTCTTAAGTACCCAACTTAATTGTATTAGTTGTATGTCAATGATAATTCAGTCGGGAAGAAAGAAAAGCATAAAGGAACGTTGTTTAACATATAAAATTGAGAATTTCGGAACTAACACAACTTTTCTTATATATAATTAGTTGAACAGAACTTGATTATTTGTACTATTACGGACATTAAGATAATATTTAAGAAAGATGAAGCAATGGCAAACAACGGAAGCACACCAAACCTTGTTTTATTAACGTCAAAACAGTTTATCTATTGCCGCAGCATGCTAACATTTATAGTATATCACATTGATTATTTACGACGGTCCTTTTCTTCCTTTCAACTCAATTTTTCTGTCAATTTTATCTTCTTATATATATATATATATATTTTAGTTTGTTACACAATGATTATTATCATTCTCCTTTTCTTTTTCTAAACAGTAATAAGACAATCTGATTATTATTATAAATTTATAGGAAGGAGCAGTTTAACCTTCTATGGTGCCCAGCAATTGGAATGTAGCATTTGGAAGGAAGAAACAATATTTGACGTTTCCATCACAATACTTTATCTCAAAAATGAGTTGACTTTCAAGCATATTATGATCCTAAAATATTACTTATTTGATTTTAGCTAGTTTGCTACTTTTTTTTTTTTACTCAATCGATTAAGCTGCAACTATTAAAATTGACTCATTGATGAGAAAATTGAACTAATACGTAAAAAAAATTAATTTCAAATCTTGTTACTATCACCGTGATTTTTACTAAAAAAAAAATTAAATTAAACTTTTTTAACTATGAGAAAAGATCTACTTAATTTAAGAGTAAGTGTACTTAATTTTATTTTACTCAATAACTTATATTCTACATCAAATTTTAATAATTCAATTATTGAATTAAAAATTCTTAATACATAAAAATTACAATTTTTAAAAAAATTTAAAAATATTTTATACTTCATTTCATTAATTTAAATTAACATATAAAATATTTTTATGATTATGTGTCAATTTAAATTGATGAAAAAGAGTATTACATATTTTTTAAATTTTTTTAAAATTTGTAAACTTATTATTAGTGAATATCTTGACTATTATATTGGGTAGTAGATATAATGGTAAATAAAGAAAAGATTTTTTGCAAAGATTTTTAAATCGTGAAAGAAACAAGAAATATAATTCTATTTCCCCTATTATTGTTTCGATCTCTATCTGTTCTTCAAAGTATAATAAGTAAATAATTTTGTTAATATGGTCATTAACACTTGAATAGGGTTCTTGGCAGTGTTTTAAAACCCGGACCGACCCGGCCGGTCGGACCGGGAACCGGTGGTCCAGCCGGTTCGAATCTGAAGTTGGATCAGTTATGCAGTCGACCCGTTTTAAACCGGATTGAACCGGTTAATTTTCCGGTTCAACCGGTGAACCGGTGGGTCAAACTGGTTCAACCACTTTTTTTTTATTTTTTTATTTTTAAATTTTTTAAGGGACCATAAATCACAAAAATAATAATGAAAATTGAATCTCTTAATGAAAAAGCAAGGAGTCTTATTAAATATAACAATGACTACTTGTTCTAATATATTTGTTTGCAATATATACAACTTAAATAACTTTTATAGTATATTATTAATTTTAAATTATATATTTAATAATTCAATATCTATGTAAATATTACATATATTATTTTGTGATATTAATTGCAAGCATATTATATATGTACATATTATTTATATTTTTAATTTGTATTAATATACCGTTTAACATGTAATTTTTTTATGTATTTTTTTACAAAATAAAAATAAAAATAATTTTAAATAAGATAGAAAAATTTAAATTTAAAATAAGATATGAATTTATTAAAATTTATAAGTATAAATATATTTAATATGAATATTTTTTAACAAAAATAAATAAAAATCGAGTCATGCAGTTCAACCAGTGACCCATTGGTTCAATCTTTGACCCACTGATCCAATACTTTAACCGGTTCGATGACCGGTCCTGTTTTTAAAACTATTTACTAGTTGTGGGAGGTTAAGTATTTTTGTTAAAATTTTCAGTTTGGTTTTAGTTTCACTAACCCACGTGACATTTACTCACGTCCCCACAGTGCTCTGGCCAACTAATTCCGATTTGGAAAAATGGAAACATTAGTACATTAGCAACTAGCTTGGTTATTGGCCCAGCTAGTTGTCCTAGTACTGGTACTACCTCGTCTGCAATGATAACCTTACCATGAAAATGGTCCTCGATTTTATCTCAGCGTACAGATTTTTGGATTATAATAATTGTCTATCATGTCAGCAATGGGGAAAAAGTAATGGACTACTTAAAAGCTATGTATGTATACAGGCGATTCTTTTTCGGCTCTTCTTTTAAAATATATTGTATTATTATTTTTCAAATTATTAAATAATAAAATTTCAAAAGCCAAATTATAGAAATATATCATTTTTATTATTTAATTTATAGTTTTTATAAATTTAACTTTCATTATTCGGTATATATGTAACATTTACTCATTTTGCATAAGTTTTATTTTAAAAAAGTAACACAATAGTTCCTTTTCTTAAAGAAAGTATAAAATGGACTACAGGACGAAAACGTCACCAAGAGGGAAATGAAGATAGATCATTTACTTAACTATATAATTAGATTCATTATTAGCTAACCTTTACAAATTAAATTCATTTTTTAATTAGAAGTTAGTAAGCAATTTACACTCAATATTTTAAGAACTTCTCTAAAAGGTATAATGTAATAAAGTTATTCCTCTAAAAAATTGATTAGGTTCACAGTTTTTTTTATTTTATATTTTAATATAAGATTTCAATCCTATACAAATCATGACAAGGCTGAAATGTAGATCAAACGTCAGATGAATACCATTATACTCGCATCCCTTCATACATAAGGAACACATTTTCTATATCAAAAAGAAAAAAGGAACACATTTTTCACAAGACACGTATTATATAACATATACTTTTTAGAATATCATTATGTTATAATTTAACTTAACCAATACAAAAAGAAAACAATCCAACTAAAGTAATTAAAGAAATAAATTTACAGCCATGTATATATATAATTTTTTTATAAAGAAAAAGAAGAATTAGAATATGATTCATAATTCTCTCTCTCATTTGTCCAATCATCTGGGTGTAATGTCAACCGGATTCCGGTAATAATCTCCACTGTCCGTAGTACCCTTCAAACCGTTTCATATATAAAATCGCCCAACCTCCAACCATATGTTTTTCAAATAAGCCTATAGTGCTATGTGATATACCATTTTTTTTATAGAGCACGTAAATCAAGAAGCAAAGCTCAGAAATAAAGGCTTGCCAATATGGCTGAGGAGTTTCAAGCTAGGATTTGTGGCGAAAACTGGTGGAGTAGTACAATTGATTCAACACGAAGTGTATTCCCTCTAAGCTCATCATTGATATCTTCTTCTCCTTGTTCCGTGGCAGCTAATGATGCAGGAAACTATACCACTCGCCAAACTACTGGCATAGATTTGAAACCAACTAATAAGTGTTGTGCTGAAGAGACCAACAATTTGGTTTCAGATACTTACCTTGGTTTTGTTGAAGCACAGAAGCCACATAAGAGTGAATTAGAATCAGCCATGAGTGGAAGTGGTAGCATATTGATCGATTCCACCTTACAGATGATGGGTTTTGGCCTCACATCTTCAACATCACAGAATTGGAATCAGCCTCTATTATTGTAAGTTTCACTATATATTGGCATCACAAATAGATATATGGTAACTTTACTGTGTTAATTGCTAAGATTTTCTTGTGAGAGAAATATCAATTTTGATTACATGTAATATGTGTTAGTGGAAGGTTTATAGTATATGGTCCAGCGCTTCCACTAGGGTTGAAAAAGTTTTATTTCTCTTAACTTTTTCTCATTGATTTCATTTGAAAAAGGTAACTTGATCTTATCAAAGCATATATGGTGTATACTATAGCTCTTAACTGTTTCTTTCCCTATT